ACTCAATAATTCAGTCATATGAGCACACCCCACTAAGAATACTGGCTGCAACTTTGATGATGGTTGCTACCACCTTTGTGTCATATAAAAATGATTGCAACCACTGATTACAACCACTTTTACAACCATTTTGTTTCCTTTTTGGGTTGCAACATGGAACACTACACCACACATGGCTGACTATCAAGTTTACATATGTAACGTATGTATTGGATTTCCCAACTGTTTTAAAATATTTTAAAACTTACAATAAAAAAGCATGAATTAAAAGAAACAATAATCACATTACCACTAGATACTGAATATTGGAGCAGTTTAGACAGTCTATGGTATAACCAATATATTTATCATGCCATTAAGGCAAGAAAGGTTTCATACTGTGAGATAGTAAAATAAGGACTGATAGAGAGGTCCTCACTTTGTTGATCAAACCAAACCAACTTACTGTGGAAGTCACGTGACGACCATTATATTTTGTGTAACTGCTGTGTCACACATTGCGCAATGTTACCTAAAAATTATTCCCATTCATATTTCTATATTTATATTTAATAATTATTCAGCTGATGCAATTATTTATTTTTAATTATTAATCATATTTATTTAGTATTAATAAGCATATTTTATTGAACAAAGTAGAATAGAAGTCATGTTATTTGTAATACCTAAGAGGTATAAAAGGACTTGGTTTTAGACTAAGGTTTCTGATCCAAACTGTTTTCTCAAAGCTCAAACTAGTTTGGGCAATTTGGGCTTCTCAGCATTTTTTATAAACATGAACATTAAAAAACTATACCAATCAACTTTGAGCTTATAAAAAAGTAGTTTTTTGCCCAAAATGTTTTGGCAAATTTCGGCTACTAATAAAGAGAGTTTCAGCCAGAAACCTTAATCCAAATGTCTTCTTAATAGTTTAATTCTCAATGATTTTCTTTTTGAGCTATTAATCCATTGTAGGATAAGTTTTACTTCCCATCCAGTAATGTTTTCTCAGCAGTTCTTTGTTATCTGCCTGAGCTGGCATGTCCCTAAATATCCACCTTGGTTCTTTTTAGGCTTATCCATTACTTTTGTTTTAGACTCAGTATCTGTACTGATCACACCTAGCTAGGGTTTACTCTTCTTAGGAATTGGCCTATGCTAAATAAAAATAAAGGAAATAAAGTTAAAAGAAATATATGTTCAACTATATTTATCACAGGTGTCCCCCTGGTAGGATAGCAATCAATCAATTAGTTAGTTAGGTTAGTTTGTAAGTGAATGGGCTCTTCCACTGGCAAAAAGTTAGTTAAACATATATTTATGTTCGTATTTTATTAGTTAGATATTATTGTTGTTACAGGATAAAGAAAAAACTAATGATTGCATGAAAGGAGAAAATTACAATGTATTTATACATGTTAAAGGTTCTATCATCTAGTTCTCCAATTTCTTTGAAATTCTGAATTATACTAATTAATTGTATTCCTTAAACATTATTTGAACCTTCTGTGTGGAATCTCTTTCAAGTTATTTATATTCAAATTCAAGTGAATTAAATTCCTTTGTTTAAATATAGTTCTGAGATCTGATGGTCTGTTACACTTTAGAATCTTAGAATATTTATATCTCCAATGTTTGGAATATTTTCCATGAGCTAATTATTTTATTGGTGTCAGTCAGGGAGATTTCCAAATATGGAAATCGAATCTGAAAAAAATTGAAGCACTTTTATTGATCAATTTCATATTGAGTTAATGTGATACTTGTGCTAATGAAAAAAAAAATTTTAAAAACAAATCCCGATTATAATAATTGAAAATAAATTCTTTTGAATATATAATCCACTGGGATCCACACTAATTTCTACTGTGAGATAGTAAAATAAGGACCGATAGAGAGGTCCCACGTTGCCGATCCAACCAAACCAAATTACTGCGGAAAACACGTGAAAATTAAATCATTTCTACAGTGCAGGACATCTATAATGGTCAATAGTCCGAAACTTAAAATTTTAGAAGATCTTTCTAATTTAAGTAATCAT